CCATGGCTACCTTAAACAGGAGAAACGAACTTATCACAGCTTGTAGACATGCTAACAAATATCTCTTTAAAAACTTTGTATCATAGGCCTATCACCCAACCAAACTCTGGTGCAATTTACGACCATTATAAAGTTTATCATTCATTGTCATTTAATCCTTTAATAATTACTTAACGATCACAGTCTACCGCTGCCTTTCAACTACCGAATTTACTCTGCACATGCTCAGTCTTACAATTAATCAATCTGTAATAATCTTAGTCATTAGACTATTTTATCTGAAGAGTGCTGCACCATTTATGTGCAACGCAGCTCGGGAATATCTAAATTGGTTGAGCGAAAAACAGTTTACGGCAGGGTTTGACGTTTGATAATTTTTCCGTTCTTATTAAACGTATTAATTTTGCTACAGTAGTATGTATTTCAATCAATAAATAGATCATTTAATCATTTTGATAATGAGCTAGAAATATTAAGCCTATTTGTATTCTTATCACTCTACTCACGTCTCATGACCACAACGTACAAGAGAGGCTGTTTATTCCACATGCTCTTGCATCCATACTTTGTAGACACATGCACAGCATGGTATTTCATTCAAATTAACAGCCAATGTTGTTTTTGTTAGTGTTTGAATATAAAAGATTAAAAATATTTGTTTTGTATTACTTTATTCGTAATGATTAAATATCTTACAGAAAATAGTTTGTAGAGTGTGGATCACGTGGTCTTTCTCGGATGCTCTCGCTCGATCGGGCCACGACAATCGACCCGACTAAAGAATGTTAACGATGTTGTTTTTTGTTAGTGACGACGTCGTTGTGTTTGATTAAAATGTTATTTACTCATGGCCGGCGAAACCGGGGGGCCCGCCCCCCCCCCCCCCCCACTTTTTGGCAGAAAATATATAATTGGAAAGGAGATTTTTGTATGATCAGAAAGAAATGCAAGAAAAGAAAGAGGGAAGAAGGAGAGGGAAGGCAAGGCAAAGAGAGTGTTTATCCAATCCCCGACCGAGTTAGATTTTCTCGCAAGTCACATTGGCGGATATGGGAGATCAGGGGTCCTTATCCCCTTCCTTGGGCAAAATAAAATAAAATAAAAAGAATTCTAGACCCACTTTTTCGGAACCCGTGAGCTGATTTTTTTTTTTTTTTTTTTTTTTTTTTGGTACATTAAGAAAATTACAAGTCGGAAAAGCTCATTTCATGCCATCTAGGAATAAACATTTTTTCGGGGGAGGGTCCCAGCCCCCTTTTATCTTATTTTTGGGGTTCATCGATTCACGGAAGAAAGAATACGTATGCAACGTATGTATACCGGTACACACAGGCCTATTTACTGTAATAAGAATAAGAAAAATTTACCTGACCGTTTTCAAGGGGGAAATCTTGAATTTTGAAGAACTTAAAAGTCATTAAAAGACATCTCAGAATTCGGGTAAGCTCATTTTCCCCATTCAGGAATCAACATTTTCTCGGGGGAGAACTACCGAACCCCCCTTTCTCTTTGGAGTTTATCGATTCATGGGAAAAAGAACACGTATGCAACTACGGTACTAATTTTTTATGTATACACACATAACAGGCCTTTTTACTGTAATAAGAATGAGAAAGTTTACCTGACCGTTGAAGGAATTTAAAGTCCTTAAGTAATTAAAAGACACCTAGCTCAAAGTCGGGAAATATCATTTCCCGCCATCTAGGAATCAAAATTTTCCCTTGGGAGAACCCCGGACCCGTTCCCTTTTTTGGGAAAAATGTTGCCCCCCCCCCCCCCACCTCCTTAA